CCAAGCTTTCGCCCCTGTAGTCCACCTCTCCACACCAATTCGCCATTTCCTTTCAACCAAAGCAAGGTATTGTGTTCTTGAAACCAATTTCGTAGGTCCATGAACCCTAGATTTTTAAAATCAATTTTTGGACTTCTCCTTGCTTGATAGTGGTAGAATGGACTAGGGAAAGCTTATATATTGACTTGGGTTGATGATTTTATGGTGTAATTGAGTTGAATTTGAACTTTTGCAAATTAGGGTTCATGATTTGGGGATTTTTGAACAAGAATGAAATTGAGTGAGATTGTGGTTGGGTTTGTTTGTTAAGTTGATTTGAAGATTCCTTCAAGGTTTCTTAGTTCTAGAATCACTTAGTTCATTGAATTTTACTCCATTAGTAATTTTCAAATCATTCCATTTTGAAAAGTGTGATCTTTGCTTCATTCAACTTACTTATTTCCGAGTTGGCTTTGCTTTCAGGTACCAATGACTAGGGATTCCGGCAAACGTTTAACTAAAAGGCAAGAAGCAGCTGCTGCAAAGAAGTTGGCAGAAGAGAAGAGAGCAGGGAAGAGTGTAGCTGATCCCGAGGATGAGAGTGACGCTGAGAGCGCAGACGAGCCTGCCCCATCGAAGAAGGCGAAAACATCTAAAGATAAAGGGAAGGCAGTTGCAGTTGAGCGAGACAGAGAGAAGAAGCCATCTTCAGACGAGCTCTATCAGCATCTCCTGAATGGGGTAGCTTGGGCCCCAACGAGGTTTGCAGACGTCCCTATGATGAGGAAGCTGGGCATTTACGATGATATCGAAGCAATGCTGTCTCACATGAGGATGCCTAAGCTCCAAACCATGGCTTACCCAACGTACAAGGATGTCTCATGCCAATTCCTCTCCTCTCTTTTTGTCACCAAACACACATCAAGGCATGCCAAAGAAGGGTGGGGGAAGATCGCGTTCAAGGTAAATGGAAGGAGCTACAGCATGACCTTCAGAGAAATAGGGAGAGTAATGGGTTTTGATGACCAACAGTATGGCTTCCCAGAGAAGCAAGACGAGCTTCCCTCAAACCTCTGGAATGTGATCAGTGGGAACCAACAACGTCAGACTGGAAGGAACAAGAACACCCAAATCCGCCATCCTTCAGTACGCTACCTCCATAGGATGCTGGTCCATGCCTTCTACCCGAGGAAAGAGATTGGAACCGTCACTGATGAGGATCTGTACCTCTTGTTCCCAGCCATTCAGCCCTACACCACACACTCAAAGCTCCCTTACTCCCCAGACATCTATTCAGAAGTTGGATGGGTAAACTTCCTTGTTAATCGTCTTCGGGCCGTCAGAGATTGGTCTTGGGAAACTTATGATTCCTCACCCAAGATTGGGATTGGAGGATTGATCACACCGCTCCTGGAGCACAAAGGGATCTCATTGGGCAATGACATTAAGGGACCCGACTTCATGGATGCTCTTTACCTGCGGTTTGCTCAGTATTTCAGTGGGATGTATCGGGAGAGCTATGTCTACCACTTCTCGTACAAGGGCAAGAAGGCTGAGTTTCTACTTCCAAACAGGGAACTTACAAGGTTAGACGGACCCTCCGGGATCAGCTTCGACATTCCTGATGAAGCTTACCTTGGTGAGCATGGGCCACTGGGGCCCATTGGTACTTCCACAGCAACTTAGCCGGAGCAGAGGCACATTGAGTCAGACGATGAAATAGCCGAAGCTGAGGACCCTAACCCCGTCTATGGCCAACCTCGTTACACCTTCACCCCCTACTCTGGTACCCTTCCTCCTGGAGCTCTTCGCGACGCTCACAATCAAATCCGACTACTCCAGAAATGGAATAAGGCCCAGGACAGGACGATTGAGAAGCTCAAACTCAAATGCAAGATACTGAGCAAGACGGTGAAGCAACAAGCCAAATCCACATCAAAGATCTTGAAAAAGATGGCTGATGTGTTGACAAGGGGAGCTATTGCAGGATGTAGCAGAGCAGACTTCGAGTTTCCTGAAGTTCCAAAAACCCGGCTTCCATCTCACCCCACTGCGCCGGGTACTGCCCTTGGTTCCCCACTCACCGAGCGACAGCGGCAGCGCCTTTTGAGGAACCCTCCCATCC